GAAAAGCAGCAAGAGACTAACCTCATACAGTGGTAACCGTGTTGAGAATATGGGGCAGGTGACACTTAACATGAGAATAAACAACCGTGAAGAATACGTAAAGTTTCATGTAGTGAAAAATGTCACTTGTTCGTTACTCAATGGAGAGACATCAGAGAGATTTGGTCTGATGAAGATAAAGAGAGATGTTCTCATCAACGTTGTTAGCACGGAACTGTCAGAGGATGATATCTTCGCCAAGTATAATGATGTGTTTAGTGGTTTAGGTGACCTAGGAGAATACCACATTGAGCTGGACCCTAAGGTTATACCAAAACAAGACTCACCAAGGTCCGTACCAGTAGCTTTGAGAAAAGAGCTAAAAGAAAAGCTGGCGAGCATGGTGAAACAAGGCATCATTGAGAGGGTAAATCAGCCAACGGATTGGATAAGCTCGATGGTGGCGGTGAGGAAGCCAGGCAAGTTAAGAATATGCCTAGACCCAAAAGAACTCAACAAAGCTGTAAAGATTCCAAAATTCAAACTTCCAACCTTGGAGGAAGTAAGTGCAAACTTGACTAATGCAAAAGTATTTAGCGTTATAGATGCTAGAGATGGTTTCCTTCAGGTGAGATTAGATGAGGAGTCCAGCCTTCTTACGACATTCAATACGCCATTTGGCAGGTATCGTTGGCGACGTTTACCATTCGGCATCTCATCAGCCCCGGAAGAGTTCCAGAGGCGAGTTATAGACCTACTGGACGGTCTTGACGGAGTCCAGACCATCGCAGACGACATCCTGGTGTATGGTAAAGGAGATACCTCTGAGGAAGCGATCAAGAATCATGACGAAAATATGATAGCACTATTAGAGAGATGTCGTGAGAGGAACTTCAAAATGAACAAGACTAAGCTTCGATTCAAATTGAACTCAGTTACTTATCACGGGCACGTGATCTCAGATGAAGGTTTGAAAGCAGATCCATTGAAGGTGCAGGCCATAGTAGAAATGGAAAGGCCGGAGAACGCTAAAGCGGTGAAAAGACTAATTGGCATGGTGAATTACCTGGCCAAGTTCTGCCCTCATTTATCAACAGTGAGCGAACCACTGAGACGCTTGACGACTGAAGATGCACCCTTTATATGGTCAGATCAGCATGAGCAGACGTTCTGTACATTGAAACAAATGTTGACAATGACCCCAGTTTTGAGATACTATAGCCTAACAGAGGAAGTTACAGTAGAAGCCGATAGCAGCGATTACGGGTTAGGTGCAGTCTTACTGCAAGCTGGACAACCTGTAGCTTTTGCATCAAGGGCATTGTCCAAAACAGAGCGCAACTATTCTCAGATGGAAAAAGAATGTTTGGCCATAACATTTGTATGTAACCGTTTCGATCAGTATCTCCATGGCCGAGACTATATCACAGTACTCACGGATCACCAAAACCTAGAGACAATATTCAAGAAACCAATCTTGGCTGCCCCAAAGTGACTTCAACGCATGCGCCTCAGGCTACAGAAATACCATATTGAGGTGAAGTACCAGCGTGGTAAAAAGATGTATATCTCTGATGCATTATCTAGAGCAACTGCGTCCAAGTCAGTAACTACCAAGGAGAACTCAGATTACGAGATTTACGCAGTAGAATCCGAGCAGAAGTTGGCCAAAGAAGTCGAGGAGATTGATTACTCGCAGTACAACAATGTGTCCGATGAGTCTCTGGAGCAAGTAAAGACTCATACACTTCGGGATGACGCTATGCAGTCACTGCTGATCCTAGTCATGGAAGGATGGCCTAGTGACAAAACTCAAGTTCCCCTGTTATGCCGTGAATACTGGCCATATAGAGACGAGTTATCCTGTCAAGATGGCATCCTCTATCGAGGCACCAGAGTAGTAATTCCTACTATCTTACGTAAACAGATGCTGGAGAGAGTCCATGCAACTCATCAAGGAACAGAGACAGCTATACGTAAAGCTAGAGATGCGATTTTCTGGCCTCAGATCAGCAATGACATTCGCAATGTGGTAGCAACTTGCAACGTCTGTCAGGAAAATCAGCCTCGCCAACAGAAAGAGCCAATGCATTCTCAGCCTATACCCAAGGAGCTATTTGAAATCGTCAGCAGTGATTTATTTTCCATTCAAGGGGAACATTATTTGCTGCTTGTAGATCATTTCTCAAAGTACTGGGAGATCACTCAACTCAGTGACACTACTTCAGAAGCAGTGATCAACGAATTGAAGCAGCAGTTTGCTCGACATGGCATTCCAAAGCTGTTTATCTCTGACAACGGGCCTCAATATCAGTGTCAGCAATTCCGAGAGTTCACCGAGGCGTGGAAGATTAACCATCATACATCATCTCCCCACCACCCCAGTGGTAATGGCACAGCTGAGGCAGCTGTTAAAGTGGCAAAGACCCTGATCAAGAGAACAAAACAAGACGGTACCGATTTGTGGTTAGCAGTTTTAGAGCACAGAAACACGCTAGCCGCAGACAACACGGGGAGTGCAGCACAAAAGTTGATGAGTAGGCGCACTAGATCGCTCATTCCCGTACGCTGTGACAAGCTAGAGCCAATAGTAGTACCAAAAGACCAGGAGGTCCATACCACTCGGTTCGGTAGACTCTTGAAGAAGCCAAAATACTTAGGAGATTATGACAGACAATTGCTTGTATTTCAAGAAAAATATATTTATTTTTCATTAATTGCAAAGGTCAACAGTTGTGTCTCAAATCTCAGCATTACAGAGAAGACAGAATTGTTGATAAACTTCCTGGTATGATGCCAGCTAAATCACTGTATTGAAGTGTGTAGTTAATACTGCTGTTAGTTATAATTAAATACACCTTGCATAACACTAATATATACGCATATGAGGCTTGGATTAACTTCATTTTGTATAAACAATAACATATGCACATAATTGATGCATAAACAATGTAAATGTAGATGATGTTTGATCAACCAATGCTGAAGTTTGTAAGCATATTATATGAGGCCCACCATGCTAATGAAATTTTTCTGACTAAATAATAAAAAGTACAAAATCCCACAACAACCAAGTGATATTCTGGCCCAATACTACATACTGTATGTAAGACTAGAATATCTGAAAAAGATGACTTCATTTTTTACATATCATGGCTCCAACTTTATACATAAGGCTATCAAGACGCACAGAGATGCTTTGTAGTTTTAAGAAATCTTATGCTGCACAACGTTTCTTATACTGTTACACACCCACAAATGATCACACACATACACACACCCTTATACTTTATAAGATAGAGATAATATATGTTTGTTGGCCACAGCCGTTCAGTAAATCAAAAGTATTAAATTGACATTCTAGAGAAGAGAGAGGAATTCTATTTATGTGGACAAACACTGTACACCACAGCGTATAAAAACAGTTCTGTCTATTTTAATAGAACAACCTATTTTAATTCTATTTATGTGGACAAACACTGTGCACCACAGTGTATAAGAATAGTTCTGTCTATTTTAATAGAACAACCTATTTTAATTCTATTTATGTGGACAAACACTGTACACCACAGCGTATAAAAACAGTTCTGTCTATTTTAATAGAACAACCTATTTTAAAACAACTTGGCTCCTTGCACTTGACAGCATAGTGCTGTTTCTTTTTGTTAAATATAAACAACAGTTAAACCCCAGAGGGAAATTCACTGTTACAGTTGTATCTGTTTTGTGATAATTGAAATTTATGAATAATGATAATATGCCAATGACTGAAATAAACAGAACAAGGAAAACAAGGGATCATTTGACCATTCAAAAAGCTAATTTAAATCA